TTTACTCGTTCCAATACAGCGTCATGTGATGAACAGCCTTCAATAATTTTAGAACAAGTTTTATAAAATCATTGTACTCTTTCTTGTTCCATCACTGAAAACAGTCAAGGTACTTCGACACGATTCAGTGCGAGAGCTACTGCCACTGGTTTAACTGGTAAGACGTTTTTTTGGTTTGTTGTGTTTTTTCCCTTTTTAGGGCTAGTGGAGTTGTTAGAAATTACCAAGCAAAATCAATCCGCGACTTTCTTCCTTTATATGTTGTGCAAAAATAGATGAAGAGCCCGATGAATGGATTTGTCCTTCATGTGAACAATAACCTAAAAAAATCAGTTTTCTATGAAAAAACTCCCTCGATTGCGGCCAAGCCATATTTCTCTACCAGAGCATACTGTAAATTAAAAACATCGGTCGCAGCGTCACGCAACATTGCGTGATTTTCCAAACGTGACATGCAGTTGCTGCATTATTTTAAGACTTAGAACCTATATGGCCCTGTAGTGATAAAAGAGGGCTTCATTTGCAAGCACTATAGACTTCAACATAAGAAGAACTTAATAAATCGCTCTTTCAGTTTTCGTCTCCGTGTATAAATTATCTAGCCAGAACGAAAAATAATTAATATACGCATGAGTTGGAGCCATTCCTGTCTGAGGTTAAATACACGAATGGCTCCAGTCTCTGGTCGTCCGCCTAAACTGACTAAATGAGTTTTGTCAGCGGAGATTGTCAGCGGATGAATTTTTCATCGCCGAAATATCGCTGAACGACCTCGCTGAACAAGATAGACTCTGCCTTCTCTTCGTTATGTAAGTAGCCATTTCTTGTTTGATCCATCGGTGTTTTCACATTGATATTTCATTGTTCCGCTTCGAGACACCAGCTTAGCAATACCCATGAGCAAGGAGTTAAGATGTAACTTATTAACTTTTACTATTTTTTATTATCCAATCACAGGTCGGAGCCATTCCTGTATTTAGGCGCTAGTATTTCCAAGTTTGGCCGCCATTTTGAGGGACTTGTCAACATGAAGCGTAACCGATATAAATCAAGCAGGTAGATCTAAAACCGTCAGAAATACATACGAAAGCAATTCAAATGAACTTTACTTTCAATTCAAGCGGCAAAATTTGAAATTGTTTGTTAAACTTACCATCCCCATGCGACCATTTCCAACAATTCAAACACTACGACTAGTGTTCGAATTCCCCTCGTCGATTCCACCGTAAGAAATAACCTGTGCCACCCAAGCTTCGACTCGAATGTGAAGTACGAATCAAATAACACAACTGCTTCATCTTCGCGGCAATATCACGCCGGTATTTTGATTTTCCGATCGACAAGCACGGTGATCAGGAAACGATCGGTGTGTTTAACTCATAAACGTGATCGCTGACCAGCCGCTGAGTGAAAACAGTATAGGGCGGGGTTGGGTGGGTGGCGGACTTATCGTCATAAGATATTCGAATACATGCTTAAAAAGCTTTAGGACTATCAGTCTAAACAATGAAGGCATGCTTCGTGGTACAGACAACTTTTATTTTATTTTCATAACTTTCTCCTTTAAATTAGAGCTGGTATTAAATAATAGAGTTAACAATATATTTTTAACCGGGGTACATATATAACCTCTTTGACTGTCATCAGTGGTATAAAATAAGGTGTATTTTCCACCAGAACCTTTTTATTTATGCCCCATTGCACGGAATGAACACTATACTTAGAATGTTTGTACTAAGTAATTTTTGCTGTTTCCAAGAATGTATGCAAAATGATAGAGATTTGATTCATTCCACTGACACGTTCTTTTAAGTTATAGCGCGTGCAGGTTTTTCCTATCAAAAGTCGTGCGTGCAACACACCGGAATTGAAAATTCGTCGTAAAATCGCACGAACCTTAGAATGAGTGTAGGCAACTTTGACTTCAGGCGAGATGAAGTGGATGGTTCAAAGGACCCCCTGAGATTTTTTTCAGGACTATAACTGAGATTTGTTTTATAACTATGATAATCGTCATGGAAACTGTTACTATTAAGACGATCAACAAGAAAGTCTTTATAATTATTGAAACTTTTGATTAACAGAATGTAAGAAAAAAATCGGTGGGGAGAGTTATTCGCCTATCTTATAACCTGAACGATAGCTTTCAATAAAACAAATACCCCTTAATTCAATTACCTTAGTTGTATCGTGTTTAAAAGTGACGTTTCTGGAGACCGTAGATTCTTCTCTGATTCTTCTTGTCTCAGCCAAGACTCACTATCATCAACTTTTTTCTTGTGCCTCTTACGGCATGGGACACAGAGAGCTGAGGTAAGCGATTGCAAATTTCTCAGTTAAAGTAAAGCCCAGTAGCATCCATCAGGAATTGAAAACCGTGATGCACTGTTTACTTTTATTATTCTTAATCAAATAAGGGGTGTTTTAGTCTGCAAATTTAATCATACTGGTTAATGAGAATCATACAAACTGAGGAAAACTGACCGCAAATAATTGTGAACCGTACGCATGAATAAGTGTATTGCGTTGTCAGGTGATTTAACCTTCTACAAAAACATTATTGATTATCAACCAAGCAACATTGTACATATTTCCATCTGCAATTAAAAGCACTTACACATAGATCTATGTTTTTTCAACGTGATGTGTACTTAAGTACCCTTCATCTAATAAAGAATTTCTTCTCTTTTCGAGCAGATATGTCACGTGACAAAAATAAATAACAGAAAATGTTACTGAAGACTACCTGATTCAACTGGAATAATAACACCAAACAGCTTTGGAATGTCCTGAGACATATGCAAGGTAATTACATCTCTGCCATGGATACGCTTCCTGACACCATCATGATCAGGATACTGACATGTTACCTTTGCACTTCTCCAAAACTTCCCCAAAGTGTGGCGATTCCTATAGCAAATCCACATTTTTTTTTTATCCTCCTGAGCGAGGTGAAATAGGCCAATCCTTGCCAAGATTAGTTCATTTTCACGTAAGACCTCTTTAGACAGGTGGCAGCTTATCAAATGATGTTTTACTTCGTCATTGCATTCAGACAGTCGTACCAAACCACTTAAGCCACGCGATCAACCAAAGTTTTTTCCATCTTTGCTATTCAAAAAGCAGTCCTCAGGTTCTGAGACATAATGAACGTCTCGCTAACGAACTACTTCTTCCTGTACTTGTAATTGTTTCCAACGCGATACAAGTTCGGGAGATCTAAAGGAACTCACTATAACTTTGTATACTCGATACGATTTCAATTTCCGCGTCAAAGGAGAAGCCTACTGTGGTCAGTGGTTACGCTCGTGAGGTAAAGAATGGGTTTGTGACCTTCTCACTCAATTGAAAGACTCGCGTCACTCTTATGAAATGGTTGAACGGAATACAGACTTCGAGCAGTCTCTTATTTTTCTTAAAGATAGTGAGGTCACGTGTATCCTGTGAGCATGGAGAAGCTGCGAGACTCGTGTCTCGCGTCTCTGCCGCTCCACGCTCTCAGAGTTGCGCGAAGACAAGACACGTTATTTCTGGTGCGATACAAGAGGTTCAATGGTTATCTCGATTATCTAAACACATTTATTTACGTGGTAAAGATTTGTTTGCAAATCTATGAATTGATGCCAGTCCCATTTGGAACGAAATGTATTTGAAAGAAAAAAGGAAAAACAAAAGTTGTCTGCAACACAAAGCATGCCTTCACATTAAGACTGACAGTCCTAGTGTTTATCATGATATTTTAATGCATATGTTCGAATGTTCCCAAAAATCTTCTGATAATCTGCCCGCACCCACCCCTCACCCCGCCCTCACCACTGAACCGTACTGTTTTCACTCAGCGGCTGGTCAGCGATCACGTTTATGAAGTAAACATGGCGATCGCTACCTGATCACCGTTCTTGTCGAGCCGAATGTCAAAATACCAGCGTGATATTGCCGCGAAGATGAAGCAGTTATGTTATTTTATTCGTACTTCACATTCGAGTCGAAGCTTGGGTGGCACAGGTTATTTCTTACGGTGGAATCGACTAGGGGAATTCGAACACTAGTTGTAGTGTTTGAATTGTTGGAAGAAATGGTCGCATTGGGATGGTAAGTTTAACGAACAATTTCAAATTTTGCCGCTTGAATTGAAAGTAAAGTTCATCTGAATTGCTTTGTGTGTATTTTTGACGATTTTAGACCTACCTGCTTGATTTATATCGGTTACGCTTCATGTTGACAAGTCCCTAAAAATTGCGGCCAAACTTGGAAATTACCAAAAATTAGGTAAGTTCACGTAAGGTAAAGTTCTCGTAAAGGTCGGGCCGCAAATTTTTTTTCCGTAGTTACCTTTTCTATGGCACCTACTTCCTAGCTATGTTAGTTGGATCAGTTAAGTACGCCTCACTTTTTCAAAAATTTACCTTATTTGGCGTGTGATTTAGGCGAACCGATAAGGTGTCATTCAAGTCTTCCTGTTTCCTTGATTGAAACGTGATGTCTGCGAAAGTCGCCTCGATAGATAAGATAAAGTTAATATACATGGCTGTGGTATTTGTTTTTTTCTGAGTTCCGTAGTTTTTTGTAAATTGTCCTCCAAAGTTGAATGAAATTAAAGTCTTGAAAAGTGTCACGACAAGCCTTTTCTCGAGTGAAATTTAATTTCCGTAAAACTCCGAAAAATAAAGAGATCCTATCAAACTGATTGTTGTTTTAGTATAGGTACAGGAATGTCTTACAACACACAAGAAACGAGCGAAATCCGTGTCTCAAGCAAAATCGACCGGACCGCTCTTACAGAGACACTCTCTTAACCCTTTGACCTCTAAGAGTGAGTGGCATCTAATTTCCTCTTACAATAACCCCCCCCCCCGAATCACACTTCTTCATGCAATCATTTCCTTCAAAACTGATAAAAAAATTAAGAACTTGATTCGTCAACGAAGACGGCAAGTTATTGTAATGAAGACTTCTTTACGAAAATTACTTGTTAACAGTATATGGATAGAGACATGGATTTATTGCCCTGTTTGTGTGGGCGAGCCACAAGAAGCATAGCTGTACCTCAACCGGCAACAAATTGCAAACTTCAGGTCGCACAAACCAAATGTAATGTCCACATAACTTGGGAACCAGCAGATTGCAAAGATCATGGCGATTACAACTAATAACCGCACAAATTTGAGTTTGAATGTTTGAACCGCAGCGCGATTGGTAGTTGTCACATTTCCCAGGATCTTTCGGAGCCACAATTTACGACAAATTAGGATGTAGATTACAATGGTTATCGAAAGAGGCCAGGCGCACAGCACAACGAAAATCGTGATGGGAAAGATCCTAAGTACGTGATAGGTTTCAGCATTTGTAACGTCGTTTTTGTCTTGCCATGGCCACACTTGTGAATATAAATGCTTGTTCAATTGAGGTCCATAAATTTCTTATTGGGAACTTATAAGTTCTTAGTATTACGTCACAATAAACAATATCAATTTAGTATAGAGGATGCAAAAGCAGAAGTTTGAAGGTAGATCTAGTTTGATCAAATTATTGACCTTTTACATACCACTGAAGAAGAAGTGAATATTACAGATGTAAGTTTTCCTTCTACCTCACTTTAACTCTTGACGAACGCCCTTTTTCACAGCAGTGAATCTGTATACAGAAAGCCAGTCTTTATATTGGTGTTCGAGATCATTAAATCAGACAGGAACTGTTTATCAGGAAGTGCTGTCAATTCATCTTACGTCAGGATGGACGATATCATTCAAATATTATTAGCGACACAATGATCGTATTTTATACGACGGTGTAAGTAAATTTTACTCCCACTACGTTCATTATGTGTCGTATTTTACTAAAATTAGATCTAATCTTTTTCCTCTACTTGATTTTTTTTACATACTGATGAAAGGAACACTTTAAAAATTGATTTGTACCACCCCTTTTTTTTTTGCAATAACGCCGTGTGCAGGAAACCAGTTTTTATATAGGTGTTTGAGATCACTGACTCAGACAGGAAAGTTTCATTAAGGAAGTGCGTTCCATTCTTTTCACATCATGATGGACGATATAATTCAAATATTGATGGCCCAATAATAATAGCTTATGCGACAGTGTTAACAAATTTGCTTTTGACTACGCCCACTGTGTCACATTTCACTGAGATTAGATCTTGTCTTTTTTCCTTAATTGTATTTCTTACATATTGATCAAATCAATACCTGAAAAATGGTTTATACCTGTTCGTCACATGGAACACAAAGTTGTGTTCAACTGAATCCATGATCATTAGCTCATACGTTAACTTGCTCATTGAGTGGCGATCTCTGAAACAGCGGTCCAGGGGCATTTCTCATCGAAATAAAGTTTTGCCTCAAACTTTGCCCATTAAACTATCTTTGGTAGTAAGTAAGTAGTACCACATTAGTCTCTAGAAATACGTTAAAAGTTTTTTTGAAAGCTCTCAATAATCAAAGCTGCAAAAGGCCCCGTTATGACCTCTTGCAGCATCGAAATTTCAAAAGTTGACGAGCTCGCTCCATGTAACACACACTGCATGCAGCAAGAAATCGTTTGCATTCTTATTTTGTGGATCTTGGACAGTAATTTTCCTCTCGCTGATCTGAAATCCTGTATTTCTCTGCTCTCATCAAGTGAAAACACGGCTGATAGCCTGGAAAATCTAGGCTAGACTTCCGAGCCAAAAAAACTCACGTTATCGCTGCCTTATTTAGAATAAATAGATTAAATATTTAGAATTACGCGACTGAGCCATTGCATGGTCACTACGACTACGTGCAGTCCCTTCTTTGGCGTGAAGTCCATCGCGCGAGTCAGAAAATAACCAGAGCTGAAAATAGAGAAAAAAAAGATGTCAGCGCGCCGCCGGGAGCTCTTGGAGTGAGGCACTAAAATTTGTTTGTCCTCACTGATTTTTTTCGACCTGCGCCACGACCGTCGCCGAAAAGGAGGGACTGCTCGTAGTCTTGTGATGTTATCGCCGGTTACGCTAAATAAAATCCTTTAGTTTGGTCCTGAAATGTTCATACAAGTTTGAATAACTTAAGCTCTCTAAACTCAAACATAAAATAACACACACCATTTTTTTCTAAAGAAAGAGTTGCTTATTAAAAGGTTGACCGAACGCTAATCAATACGATATTCGATACGTTTTGTTCACCTTTTTCGTGAACATTTGCCGGATTTTAGCCGTTTAAAATGTTTAGAGTTGCAATCAGTGTGTTCTAAAAGCTCTTTCCCACTATCTATTCTTTTAAACGGTTTAAATCTAAGATTCATGGAGCTATTAATATAGAACTGTCAGAGTTTGCTCAACAGATAATTTGCATAATTCTTCAGTCACGCTCGGAAACTCGCCAAAAGTTTGAAGTCACCACGGCAAAGGAAATTGAATAGTGCAAGATGTTTTTATGTTTCTATGCTATCGAACATCTTATTTGAAGAAACGAACCGGAGTCTTTAGTGGCCTGGTCTGGACTTGAGAAATAACATCCAAGAAAAAAAGAGTACTTTTGACCAATTTCAGAAGCTGTCTGACGGGTGTTTTTAGATAAATTATGGCGAACCTCTAAATAAACACACGTCATAATTGAAATGCTTTCCAAACCCCTTAGATATTACAAAATGTAGGAATGCAAACGATTTCTTGCCGCGTGCAGTATGTTACGAGAAGCGAGCTTGTTAACTTTTGAATTTTCGATGTCGCAAGGTCGAAAAAGGGCCTTTTGCAGCTTTGATTTTTGAGAGCCCTCAAAATTATTTTAAACGTATTTCCGGAAACCAATGTGGTTCTATTTACTTTCTACCAAAGATAGTTAATGGTCAAAGTTTGTGGCAAAAATTTATTCCGATGTGGCCTAGACCGCTCTTACAGAGATCGCCACTTGAGGGAGCGCTGACAATTTGTCACGTCATTATGGATATACGATGAAATATAGAAGATGCTCAGAAGGAACTTTTGGGAAATTAGTAACATATATTTTATTTCCAAGAGGGTGTAGTAGCGAATCTTGAAATCTGACTGGTTCCTAGTGCGGTCCGGATCTCTGCCCACAGGTACGATGACGCTTAAGTGAGTCGCTGAGTACATCCCTTGCTTCGTTGCCATTTTTCATAAAATGTGTTGTTTTACTGGCTAGGCGCTATTTTAAAGCAAAGAATTCGGTTATGATCTCAATAGATCTCGATTTGGATAACTTAATAATTCAGTCCACTACATGTGTATCTTCTCTCAAATCACTTTGGTTGCCTGCAAAAAACTGGTTTCGAAATTATCACGCCGAAAAAAAGAAAAACCGTCCTTGAGGTAATAATCTTTTATAAAAAGTAATTCATGATCAGAAATTTAGAAACTTACTTTTTTAATCTAATTTCATTCATTTAATATCTGAATTCTCCAAAACAATTTATTCGTTGTAAAAAATTTGAGCGAAGATTTGAATTCTACTACATGTTCAATATCGGGGAGCAAACTCTTAAGCTTAATTTTCTACCGTTGACGTCAGTGCTATGACGTCAGTGATTGAACCATCCTTCCGTTTTGCATTATAAAAAAAATGATTGACATGAAATGTGTTCAGGAAACAGTACAAATACAAGTTTAGTTAAGTCTGGGTCAAATTTCCCAGCAAAGCTGTTTCAGTCGTGGAATTCGAACTTACTACTTTCTTGAGCAGTGGTGAGCTGACGCTTACTCTTGTTTAATTAACATTTTGGTGTCGAATGCACGAGGAAATCAAAGCCAGGGCTCTTAGAGCCAGCTCATTCATGTTTTGGCTCAGGTTTGTATCGATTTCCTGGATTTTTTTAATATAGGTACAGTTGAATTCGGTTTATGTGAACTTTCAAGACTTTAAGAATAAATTCTCTCCTAATTTTGGGCAGTTGTGAGATGAGGAAACTTGTGCGTTCGTCGTGATGAGAATTGGAAAAAAGGTTGTGTGGGCTGAAGGTAGGATGAACAGAGGTCATTAGGCAGACAGTGTCCTTTTTGTTGGTGTGTGTGTTTGCGTAGTAACGAAAGAGATGAGAGATAAAACCACCAGAAAAGTAAGCAAATGGCCAGTCACGAAAGCAACTTTTCGCTTTTCCCTTCAAAAAATTCGCTGGTTCCTCATGTACTAAGCCAATAACAATATAAGGCACATGATATGGAAAAATCAGTTGGTCTTGATCCGCATTTTTGTCAACAAAATGAACACATATCGGTCAAAACGATGAAACGTATGAACCACGTGCAAAGCTGTCAATTGTTTCTCGAAAATTTCGCGTATTAAATATTCAATAGTGACATCTCCTTTACATCTCCATCTACATCTACTTTTAATGAGTTAGTAAATTCTGTACCGACATCTCACCAACCAACTCGCGCGCAAAGTGAGAAGACTGTATGAAGGCTTGAAATTATATTAAGAACGACTGTGATCAAGAAACGGGCAAGGAATTTTCCACAATAGTGCAAATAATCATGAAAGACGATCGCGGAAAAGCAATTGCGTGACGCTCGGTAAGTTGCAAGATGACATGTTATCACTTATCAGACGAAAAAACAGTATAAATTCTCAGTCTGCATTTTGTACCCGGTCTGCAGTCAGCAGTCTGCATTTTTTAATGACCGGATTGGTATTGCTGTTTTTGTTCGAGCGAGCCTCAAGTCCGGACCGAAATATTGGAGCTCGAAAAAAAATTCTAGTGAGACTATCTTGGCCGCTATGACTGATGTGTGGACTGTATGTTGAGGAGCTCACGAGGAAAAGTACAATGATAGAGCTATGATTACTTTATACAGACTGAAGACGAACGCAAATGCGCGGCTTACCAATATGGCGACTTTTGATGCTCTTTCGCGTGGTCACATCGTGTGTTGAAATGAACCCGCTACGGGTCTCCTAGGTGTGAACATTTCGGCTTCTTGTTTTAAGTTGCATTTTCAGAAGTTCGGAAATGTGAATTGAGGTTATAATTTTATTAAACCATATAAACATTTTATTTCTTTCAACGTGAGTTTCTGAGCTTCAACGAAATTAATTTTGACTTTCACTAACTGGGGAGGGGTAGCATGCGAGTTTACTTCCGTTTACGGTCCACAATGCATTTCCGTCCACGGAATACAACTTCCGTCCACGGAATACAACTTCCGTCCACGGAATACAACTTCCGTCCACGGAATACAACTTCCGTCCACGGAATACAACTTCCGTCCACGGAATACAACTTCCGTCCACGGAATACAACTTCCGTCCACGGAATACAACTTCCGTCAATATCTGCTCCACCACGATACGTCATTCATTGCTTTCAGCATGAATGAGCTAAAAAGAAAAAAAAGACCTTATAGTTTCATTGTGAGATTTGACTGGAAAAAAGCTGGAAAAACATTTCAATGTACACCAACTTAATCACAGTTTTGATTGTAACAACTTTAATTTCACTGATTCAACACTCACCTTGACAAATTGTATATTGATCAGAGTTTTATAGATAACATTTATTGCGTAATTTCCGTGGGTGTATGTGAAGTTTGATTAATGTTAGGGAGAAATAATCAGCTTCGATCTTATTTATTATACGTATTTACAGTCAATAAGGAACGGTATCAAGAAATCTTGTAAATGCGGAGAGTATTCATCAGCCACCTGTGGGTTGAGCGCTATTTTAATGATCCGCACGTGCATCAGCTGATGCTAGAATTTTTAATTAAGCTACCCAAGCTAAATTCCTTGCTATCCTTCAAGCGATATAGCTGTCCTTCATAATGTACGTTATTATAATATCATGAACGTATTGTGTAATGTAGTCCACTAAATCAATTAATATATTTTTACATTATGAGGGTAAGTTTATTTTATAATGATATGCTGGATAATACGTTTTTTTATAGCTTATGTTATCAACCCACTTACATAAACATTTCAGTATATTGATTTAGAATTTGTTTCAACCCTCACGCAGGATTAAACTGTAAGCCATCACATATGTTCAACTTATTTAAAGTAAACAAAATGTCTAGTTGTTTCTGTACGTAACGTGCAGCTACGCTACAACAAAGACGAAGTTTTAGGAGTAACCTTGTCTTATTGATAGATCAGTTCAAGTCATTCGGACTGTCACAAAGGCAGAGGAAAACTTTTTTAATTCCGTGGACAAAATAATCCGATGGACTCACACATTAAAGTTTAAATCCAACCATTAAGACCTGTCACCTCTTTGGAATGGCAACGCATTTAAGCCGGTAGACTTTTTGTCATGTCATTCAAAGATGCAACTATCCTTGCTTGTGAACCAAGGAAAACATCTATAAACCAGCTTTTAAGACAAACGGTACACTTGGAGCATGTCTTCTCCGCTTTTACCAGTGTTCTGTGAGGAGTTAGGATTCTGGTTCTGAGGTGGTGGACTATTTGGGTACGAGTGGCCTTCTTTGATGCTCATCCATGACAAAGACAGGTTAGTGTGCCCTCTTTCCCGCTTCTCTGAGGGACTACGCGGCAACGTGTACGCCGTTACTCGACCAAACGACATCATTTTCCACATGGTACCTCCAGTTGTAAAACTGTTCTCCTCCTCATTCTGTGACGAAGCCGACAAAAAGCGTGCCAGCCTGACTCGATAACGAGGACAGCAAGTCATCGTGATGAAAAGTTCTTTGCGAAATTTGCTGTTCAGCAAAATATAAAGTGATGGATTTATTGCACTGTTTGCGTGCGCGAGCCACAAAAACATTAGCTGTGCTTCCTCCGGTATCGAGTACCGAAGGTCAGGTCGCACGAACCAAATGTAATGATCAACATAATTTGGGAACCAGCAGATTGCAAAGACCAAGACGATTACAACTAATAACCGAACAACTTTGCGTTTGGATTTTTCAGGCGATTGGTAGTAGTCACATTTCCCGGGATCTTTCGAAGCCATAGTTTACGGTAAATTAAGAAGTAGAAGACGATGGTTATTGTTAGGGGCCATGGGTACAGAACAACGAAAATCGTGATGTGAAAGATCTTAAGTACGCGATAGATTTCAGCATTTGTAACATCGTTTTTGTCTTGCCATGGCCACACTTGTAAACAAAAATGCTTGTTCTCTTGAGGATTATACTCTATTTGGTACAACATAGGATATGGAACCATCATCACTAAAGATAGAATCCAAATTGTGGCGGACAATATTTTTGGCTTGCGGAAGATCTTTTCTCTCAGTGGGTGAATAAGGCGTAAAATCGATTGAAGGAAATAAACATCATCGTGAACACAGTTGCCGCTATTGAAACTGGGATAATGTAAAACACCAGCTTGCATGTCATGATTCCCAATATTCCCGGAATCCAAGAACATCCCCATGAGTGAAATCCACCTGAACCGGCATCACTGTACACGTCAACATCAGATCTGCAACGGCCATGTTGGCGATAAACAAGTTCATGACGCTGATAGAAGAAGACTTCTTTAACACAACGTACAACCCAAATGAATTTCCAAGGAAAGCGATGGTAAAAATAACTGCATACGCACATGTTATACCAATTTTGAACTCCTGAGAAGCACCTTGTGCTGGAGCACCGGCGGTTGTTGCTGCAAAAAAGAAAAAAAAAACACAAATTGCATAATTATATATAACCAATAGCACGCCTTATTAAGAGCGGTGAAAGCAACCATCCCTATTTACACTGTTTACGGATGGGTGTTAGATTAAAATGGCGAAACATTCCCCTCCGACCCGACCCTGCAGATCCTTCTTATTATTCATGCTTAGTTTGAATTCATCATGGCGACAATTCTATAATGAGTCATCACTCAGCAACAGGCAAAACGCATGACAACAATGACGGAATGGACGGCATATATAGAGCTACGAGATCCTTACCGTTTGTCGTTGATACATTGGAACTGTTGTTCATTTTGAGGGAGAAGTTTCGCGGCCTACAAACTATTGAAAAATAAAGAAACAAAAAAGGCATAAGAGAAACTATGAAAAGACAGAAGTAGCTTTAGCTCATATGAAATTAAATTGGTTGGAAATGAGGCAAAAGCTTTTGCTCAACACTACTGCAATTTCTTGATGTCATATTTGATTTTGGCTTTGGAACGTTGTTTAAATAACTTGAATCTGTTTTTTACTTTTGTTAAATACCATAAAGTCAGAAACAGGGAATGTCTTACACGAATTACGTATTGTATAGAGACATTACGAGTCTAGCTTTTTCTATTTGTAAATAAGTCATTCTTTTTTTTGAATGGAGTATTTTATCTTTTTGCCTTTTTTAAGTTCAGGGTGTACAGAGATAACACAAAAGTGATATAGTTTTTTTATATTTATAAATAACATTACATTATGTCAAAAAGATCATTTTGAGCAATGTATTATGTAGGTAGAATTTTGATTTTCATAAAGCTGTATTTCCGTTATTACAATTGTTATTTTCATTATTATTTTTATCATCATCATTGTTCTTATAAGACATAAGACAGGCAGAATGACGCGAATAACAACAAGAGGAAGAGGAAGGTATTTCTTAGCCCTTTACACCCTAACATCAGTATCTATCTTCTCCTTGTTCTTCTCTGTACATTTCTTTTGGTGCTGGTAATGAGAATTCGTTTAACCATTAAAGTTTCTTAGGTTGGCGATCATTTCCTTTGTTCTCATAATCTTAGTGAATCATTCAGCAGCATTACTTTAAGGAGAAATTAGATGCTGGTCACTTATAGGTAGCTTCGGTCCCCTAATGTTTCGCGCCTTTGCTGTTAAGTCGCTGCACATGGAAACAATTCACGGTAAACGCAATTCATAATTGTACAAAATGAAACTTTCCTCTTAACACAGCGTGACACATTGCTCACAAAGGTATAAAACGGGTAACCCTTAAAGAAAGTTTATTTGCAGAATAGCTCTTGTAACGTCCAGAGCAAAGCTACCTCTGTCAGTCAAAGTGATTAAAAATAATTTGTGTAAGCCTAGGGAGGAATTAGCTTTAATATATGATCTCGTTAAAACTATAGGCAATGACCAGTGATGCAAAAATTAACGAAATAAAAAAAAAAAAGTTTTCAGTTTATAATGCTAAATTAATCGAATTGCAAGTTTGACAGAAGTGAGTGACATCGGGCGCGGAACACACATTAGCCATCATGAGAGCAAACAGTAAAAAAAAAAAGAAAAATCACGAGCGACTGACAACCCTTATTGTTGTATTATTTGCAATTGTTGTGAAATGAGCGATGAGAAAATATTTTGGTTGACCTATTGTAAGCCAAAGAAGACAGTGAGAGAGAATATGATCATACATGCAGTGATTAGAGGTTTGCAAGTCAGGGTGCCCTCTTTTTAGTTCAAATTATTCTAACGTTGCGGTTTAAAATTCGGCATTTCTAGATCTTTATCAGGAAGTATATGGAGATTATTTATTCAGTTGACACTGGTTATTTTTGGATGCTTTCCTTCCCTGTAGTAACAAGAAAAGAAAAATAAAACAAAACCCTTTTGCTGAAGAACAGTTGTCGAAAACCGGAAAACAGAATGTTTCTCAGCGTGACAGTTTGAACCAGAATTACTAGACAAGGCAAAAGAAATGCCAATAACGAACCAAAAAAAAGGAAAGAACCTCTTTAACAAGTTTTGTTCTGACCTGATTTGTTTGTTCTTGTATCAATTTGTTGCACAGGATGTATTTGATTTACTATATAAACAGATTGATCTCCTTTGATTCTCTAACATGTTTGCCGCAGCATGAATCATCCCTTTTTTGAAATGGTGAAAAAAAATCGCACGCTGCCTCCTTTGTAGAGATTATTTCTCCTCTTTGGGTAATCTTCCCTTCGACCGTTTGTTAGGTGGCAGTGGCGTTTAAAGCTCTTTACTGTTAAGGAATTGATTTATACTTCGAAATAACACCGGATTGCAATGTCAAATTGACTACAAAATACTCCAACTAGGTAGTTTTCGGGAATGCAATTTTGGCATTGTAAGACGAAGAGAATTCGTTATGTTAACTTCAACATTGACGAAATAACACAACCATTTCCAAAAGTGGGTAAGCAAGAGGCTCTTTGTGAGGTGTGAGATTAGAGCTGAAGTGTTAGGACGCAAGTGAAGTCTAAAATATGACATCGCTTAGAGTATTGTTACAAATCCGGCCGATCAAACTAAAGGTCGGTGCAGATTAATCTGGTTTTGCAGCTTTGCTGGTAGACAGGTTTTCTGTTTACATTTTGTACTTTAAAGTTTATCTAACCGATAAAACTCCCACAGATAAAACCTCACGAAACTTTCGCCTTGAGAAATGTTTTTGTACAAAAATAAAATCACAATCGAGATTTTTAATCCTGATTTCGCGGTCATCGTGTGCCCAATTACCTACACCGTTCGGTGTGAGTAGATATCTGCGAGAAGCAAATTTTCTTAAGTGGCACGAAGGGCCATCTAACTTCAACTTACATTACCACAGGTTTGAATTTGATTTCACAACTAACCTGATGTAGTATTTTCAAGCTTTTCTCGGAAAAACGATCGCCCAGCTGAAATTCTCTAATTTCTCAACTCCGCAATTAGAAGCCTCGACGAGCGTGGATAATAAACTGTGTCGTGCTCTGTTTCTCTCTGACTGACAAATCTGCAAACAAGAAAGAAAACAATGTGTGATGTCGTTACACTAACAGGAAATTAACCTTTAGCAAGTATGTGACCACGTATTCAAATTACAAATTTGTTACAAGTATAGAGGAAGTAGTCTTTGGCACCTTGAGCTGCATTCATCCAAGGCATAATTCCCCATCAGCGGTCTTGCCACGTTGGCACAACAATCCTTAATATTCGTATGCACTTCGCTTAAAACGTTTTATTGCTTTTAACGCGCTCAATATGGAAAAAATTAAAGATAGAAAGTAAACATGTACGCCGCAACTGTCACTGAAGATTGCAATATCGTGTCCGGTGTTTAATCTAAAAACGAGAGGGTTTTAAAACCAAACGGAACCGAGATGTGATGATGCTTTTGTTGGCAAAGAAATATTCTCAGTTGTTGTCCTTGAAGCAACGTGACTCAGTGGTAAAACGTTGAAAAAAATGAAAACTCAACTCATATCATTAGGATGAAGTAAAATAAGGGCTGTTTAATGAACGAATCGGCAAATAGTGACCACTTTCAAGCCTAGTTTACGATATAGAATATTAAGTCGAAATTGATAAATTTCAATTGGTCTATCTGTCTTGTATAAATAGCAGATTTTTTTTTCTTATTATTTCATCTTTTTTACATTTGGTAAACACTTTTTTGCAAAATTCTGTTTGTTCAAAAAATCATGTCTTGGGTTCAATTTTCTCAAATCAAAGAAGTTATTTTCTCTCTTTAGGTAAAATGATTTAGTTATGTTTTCAGTAGCGGTACCGCTCGAGATTGAACAAAGTATCAGCTTGCAGAAAGCGGAGCGCAAGACCTGATGAATTTTGAGCGCTATTCATAGAAACACTATTTATATTCAGCAGGATACTTCTAATTAAGGTTATAACTGGTACTGGATTTCGGGCGTTTCAAAAGCATTGTATACATGATTACACTTGCCACCAAAACGAGTACCACATAATCAGGATTTTTTGTTACGAATCTAAAAAAACTGAGAAAAGGTGCTAATATCACAATGTCATCGATATCAAATGCTACTAATCCCTATTAAAGTAATGTGGCGTTGAAGATACCCACTATAGCATTTTAATCGTTCGGTAATTTCGGGGACATCGCCAGAATTTCTGAGCTTCTTTTTTAAGTAAAGATTCAAATAGGCATTTTGTCAGAAAATATATGTTTTAACCTTTCTTAATCAAGAATCTGCAGGTGCTAAGTAGCACTTAGCATCTTCTTTGCGTTCGCAAAACATGATAAGGCAAGAAGGACCATGTCACGTGCATCAATTTCGCCCTAA